ACTTTCGAAATTGTTCACGCCGTTTTCGCGCTTTTAGTCGATTTTGGGACTGCATAGCGTATAAGATCAAGTAAGCGAGAACGTCAACAACTGCTCAGGCCCCTCCCATAACATCATGTTTAGATTCTATACACCAGCGGTGTTTCTTAGAATATACACGCTAAAAAGCACTTCTCCAATCACATATGCTGTTGTCTGAGGTTTTTATAAGAGTAATCTGAAGAATAGCGGACACGGGTGGTGTAGTGGTACGATGAGACGCGGCTGGAAGCAAGGTGGGGCTTTAATAGGGACACCCAAGCCTCTACATTTCTGTAGATTGAAATAGTGAACTGTTAACGCCTGACTCGAGCAAGTGCCTAAAATGTTTGCAAGTAAGTACTTACTTTCCTCGACTGAGAGCACGGTCTGCAGTTAAGGTGTTAATTAAATGTATCATGCGGGAAGTTGACTTCTGAATAATCCGACTGCGGCCGATTTTATAGCATTGCCCTCTAGCATAGTCTAGCAGTTCCGGATAGTTCACCATTTCGCATGTACGTGGGATGAACATGTTATGTTGATGCAAACATGAACTGCTTCCCTCATTCCTAGAATCACGATGTACACGTGTAGTCCAATGCTTGACGTGCTGGCTCTCGTTGGTCGGATGAAAGTTCCATCCCGGTAAGTGCAATGGTTTTGCGGTCAACCTTTCATTGCACTGTGGTTACTTGACTACGGGAACTCGCGAACCTCATGCCCAAAAAACGAGGTTGTCATGAGGTTCGCGAGGTTGCCATCATGTCTTATGCCAACATGCCGGGTGGATTACTACAGGCTCTGAATTCTGTGCACGAGCCTTTAACTATAAATCGCGCCAAGACGATACCATTCACCTTGTCCGTTATTCGTACCAGCCAGAGCAAAATTACAGCATGCAAGTCGCCTCGGCAAGAGCTTCTTTTTTAATGCAAAAACGGCCTAATTTGGTTCCTTCACGCTGTCCAAAGCTAGTACCCACGTTTAACACGACGAAAAATCCCGAAATCCGCAAAAAGTCAAAAACAGGGATCTGACAGGATATCAAAAGCTTGAGACTTGTACACTTAAAAATAGGTGGCATATCTTGATAGAGTCAACAACACATATGATGTCCCAAGAGTATGTACACTCTGTCAGTTGTTGAAATCTTTTTTCCGGGGGACTCAATCCAGATCAAAAGTATGAAGCGAGTTAGCAATTGTCCTTCATCATAAAAAATTACTATGGAAACACCGACAGAGATTTCAAGCCGGACAGTATGCTTTGAAAAGGAAACCGAACAACATATAAACTCTACCACTAATGCCAAATAGCTGGTTTCAAATGACGTTGGCACTTTACCGCAATTCTCTCTTCTTACACATGCCATGAGTAAATAAGATCATGACTTATAATAAAGCGCGTGTCTGTGTGTGTTTATGCTCTATCAGCATGTAGGTACACTGTGCAAAAGCACAAGCTGATGCGGTAATTGGATCTTTGAAACCTGGGCGTTGAACGGGTACATGCGACTTTTGGCCGGCCAGTGTGGGTCGGGGATTGTACTTTATGCGAATTTATGAATTTGATTAACAAGCCACTGCGAAGACCATAGATTAAGCCTAAACAGGGAGCAAAATATCTATTGAGCAAAGTCAGCGCCAAAAAAGGAGTAATTGCATAGATGATCAATTTGTCAAGGTTTCAACTAATCATTTGCGAAGATTTCTGCTCAAAAATGTAGGTGACGGAAGTAACTCTTTTGTGGAACTACCCGACCGTAATGGCTTCAGTGACTGACCGAAATTCTCTTTTAGGTTTTGGGTATCCTTTACCCGTGTTACCGGTGTTACTAGTGTTACTCGTGTTATTCGTGTTATTCGTGTTACCAGTGTTATTGTGTTACTCGTACTACCCAAGTTACCCGTGTTACTCGTGTTATTAGTGTTACTAGAGTTACTCATGTTACTGACCAGTTAGTGATATTGGGTTTTGAAAGGAGACTGTATCGTGATCATCTCGTTATTCAACAGCAATAAAAGCGGTAACATTAGTAACACCAATAACACGAGTAACACGGGGTAACACTAGTAACACGCGTAACAGTGGTAGCACCGGTAACACGGATAACACAAATAAAGTATGGCCAAAGCATTGATCTTCTACTAAAATTTCTCTTCCCAGTTTACTGCTGCTACATAGGAAAGCTCATGGAATGAGTCGTTGCTTGCAATTCGTTCATGATGGTCAGCATCGCATAGTGAGTTTCAGAGTCAACATCATGCAAACAAGAGGAAGGCAATAGATAGAGAAGCCAGTGTGAGGCTCTGCGAAGCAGAGGTAAAGCACTGTCACTATATGGGTTGAAAGCTTTACAAACTTGCGAAAAGTCAAGCGACAAAGAGATTGCTGAGAATCTCGCCTACACTAATATTCAGATCTTTTGGAAATTTCATGAAGCGGCTGGACTTCATATGGCTGCGTATACTGGAAATTCCTAAGCATGAATGAAGAAAAATCAACAATTTGCTTTAGGCCTAAGGCATACCTCACGATTTCAGTCTGTGCGCTGTTCGGCACGCAACGACTCTTGTTCAATGGGCGTGAAAGCGCATAAGTGAGGCAAGATTCAATGCTTTTGTTACAATACACAACTACGCGCTCAAGAATCCAAGAACTGTGCACGGCAAATCATTGAAATTAGCGAGATGCCAAGTCGCGGAGTTTCAGCAATGCGAGATTAATCCTTGGAGCTACGTCTTATCATACTCTTGATCTAACAAGGAAAGGAACTTGGTAGCCGTGGTCTTTGTAGTAGAGTGTATATCAGTAGATGCGCCCTGAAACGCTGATTCTAAACTCACGTTTTATTAATCTGCTGTGCCACTCCCTGAACCAAGCTATTGCTTTTTTCCGTATTAATTTCACGAGGCCGTCTAGGCCGTCAGAATGTCGGTATTTAGGGTTTTTACAAGGGTACGATCCCTACTAAGGTGGCGAATTGGAATGAACCGCGTATCATTAGATGCGCCTTTACGAGCTCATTTCAAATCTTCCTTGTATCTGCGATGCCGTTCTCTGGAAAAAGTTATGAGCGGTCAAAAAATGTGATTTCATTGAGGTTTGAACGCATAACGTGCTTGAGAATCCGACTTGGGAATGCATAACTAGCATGATATTGAGTGTGCTGATTTCAAGAAATGTTCAAATCCAACGAAATTATGAACAAATGTTTTTGATCAACTCGTTCTTCAGGACTGGAGCTGTATAGTTGCCAAATTTGACTTTTCATTGCTCATAGCTTCTATCAGAGAACATTAGTTGTTTCAAAGTTGTTCAAAAGCACTTATTTGTGTTTCTTTTGAATGTGAGCATTCCTGAAATTAATAAACTCACTCTCATGCTAGTCATGCATTCCCAAGTTGACTTCTGAAGCACGTTATGCGTTCAAACCTTAATGACTTCACATTTTAACCGCTCATAACTTTTTGCAGAGAACGGCATCGCAGATACAAGGAAGATTCGGAATGAGCTCGTAAAGGCGCATCTAATGATATGCGGTTCATTTCAATTCGCCACCTTAAGTTGGGATCGTTCCCTTGAGACTCGGATTTATCGGAGACAGTTTTTTTTTTGAGCTTAATGCAAAGCTTTACTTTGCTTTAACGCTCTTTTGTAGTGCCATTCCAACGACACTGGTGAATCCTGTCATCAAAACAGTGCAAATTTCAAAGGCAAGAAATGTTTTCAACTTCCTTCGAAGAACGCATAGCAGGTACCGAAGGCAGATTTGGAATTAGCGGTTCAAGATGCATTTGATTGCGCAAGTTTCATATCAGAAGGTCATTGTCATCAAGTATCCTTCCCTTTTAGCTAGTTCTGCATAATGACATAATGTTTGACAAAAGACTTGAAGAAGGGGAATGGAGTTAATGATGACGAAAAACGGTGAGTGAAAACTTTGGGCACACTTTAGTGCTTAAAGGGCCGGGCATACTTCGAGCAATTTCAATCGCCACGGATATGGCAATATTCCAGGTGTCCATAACTCACTGTAAGCACATCATAAATGCACAGAAGATAGGGCATTTCATCAGTTTACGTAAGTTATACACACTAGGCATGTGCAGTTTGCTAATGTTGGATCCTAAGACTTCTGGCAAATTGCCAAATCGCGTCGCGACTGAAATCGCGTGAAGTATGCCCGGACCCTAAAAATACTTGTCAAGATTCGTAGAAACGTTTCATGCTTTTACAAGGGCTCAGTTCGCTTGCAATAGCCTCTCGCCTCACACTAAATTAGCACTTCAAAAATTCCCACTTTCTCCCGATTCACGGTGTCGTCTTTTACTGTGCTTGGTTTTATAAATAGCTTATGAGCCTTACAAGACCCTTCAAAATAAAAAAAACAACTCGAGAATTTGGGGAGCTGCTGAGAGATGTAACAGCATAATTCCAGCTTAGTCCTCAATAAAACTCCTCTGCCTTATGTTTCAGAGAAAACGTATATTTGAAGGGCTGATCAAATTAAACGTAGGTGAAAACACATCGAAGCTTCAATGATATATAACAAGAAAAACTCAAAGGAAATTCTCAAAGTTGAAAAGACCTTAGCTGTCTGTGATGATTGATGTAAAGAAAAAAGGTAATCTTAAGAAACTTAAATCTATAAATTTCAAATAACTTAGATCTATACTACATTTGGTGCCAACACAAATAAAACAAGTCGGTTAACGTGACTTACGTAAGAGGTAACTTTGCAGAGAATTCATTTAAGGTTTCAAGGCTTTGGAAGTCAGAGGTAGGTAATCGTAAATTAATTGGCGTCTTTTCGTTTCTTCTCCACCGCCGGAAGTCAAAGTGCTAATTTCTTTTAACCACGCACCACCACTCAAAAGACAGATAGTTCAATAAAGTAATCTGCACTGTTGATAAAAGTGATATGATAAAGAAGTTTATATAAGATTGAAGGGATAATTCAAATCTCATTCAAGTTTCAAGCAACATGCAAAGCTCACAGTCAGGTCCTGGCAAGTCGGAGAAGAAGGTGTCTGGTCATGTTTGGACAGCTGTAGCAAATGTAATTTGCACTTTTCTGTTTAGGTGAAAAGTGCGAGAGTAGCAACAGCAAAGTCTGCGACACCGTAAGACTTTCTCCCTTCGATGAATACTCATCTGCTTCTAACCTTGAACAAACTTAAAAATGTTACTGTGAAACGATGTGTCAAATCCACCTCGAGAAACATCCTTTTATTTTCGCAGATTTTTGAAAGTATCACAAAATCTACATGTTGCTACTTTCTTATGTCACATCTATCTTACAACCGGAAGAAGGGGGAGGGAGGCAGGGTATTATCATCTCTGTTTGAGACCTCAATTGTAACTGTTCAGGATGTAACCCTGACCAAACGCGAAGCGTCGTGCTCTCGCGGTGCTCGAACGTGTTCGCCTAACCGTCCAAAAGCACGGTAGGCGAAATCGGCTAGTTCACCAACACGTAACTTATCTCACAATTCTGAGATTATGTAAACTAATGTGTACCTCTGCTTCGCAGAGTCTCGTACTGGCTCTATTTATTTATTAGCTGGTATGCCCGGCTTTGCTCGCACCGTGAGTTTGAGTGGCTAACAAAAAGCAAGATTGGTGCGCGACTCCAAAGACTTGACTTTGCGTTTCGGAGTTCTTCTGTTTTTCGTGTAACACAGACAGATATTTTTTAATCGCGTCCTTGAATCACCGTATTTTCTATTTTTCCCTATCGTGGAATGGGAATGAACTCTACCGAAAGTTGGAACTGGTTGATAGTAACTGATAAGGGGTCATTTTTCTTCAAAGAAATGAATAGAAGGAGCCGGGATTTTGCCACAAGAGCCTACGCAGTGGACCGAATTCGAGAATATATGTGTGTGCAAAGTTTTGCGCTGATCGGTTCGCACAAAAATTTTTACAAGGAACACACTAACTGACAATCTGCTAACACTCCGCTTTATATATCCAGTATCCGGCATCACCTCTGCTTCGCAGAGGTGCACTGGCTCTGTTATCCATATGCCTTCCTCGCGATCGCATAATAATGACTTTGAACATCGCGCAATGCCGAGCATCATGACTTATAATAACGGGCTAAGGGTGTTTACGTGTTTGTGTGTGTGTCTGTCCGTAACGAAATGCACAGAACGAGTCGTAGACAAGGTTTCAAGCCGCAATTTTTTGCGCAACATTGTTGCCATCCAGATCCACCATGATAAAGCACGAGCAGATCCATTGAGTAGGTCTTTCACAAATCGCACCTCAAACGGATCCACTTAACGTCTGACGCACAATATTTGGTCCGTATTACCACTTATTGCAAGGAATGATTACGTTTGGCAAATGAATGTGCTAGCCATGATCTTTAGCCCAAAAAAGTGATGGAATTCTATTGCTCCACGAAAAAGGCGCCAAAACGAATCATTTGCGTATAGGGTCAATTTACCAGGTTTCGAGCTACATTTGAGAAGATTTTTGCACAGGATTGTAGCTCGCCGTGGATATTATCCTTATGGCGACTGCCAAGCCATGAAAAACTTAGAAGTGCTCTAATTCTGCATTTGTTCTTCGTCTTCCAAAGTTTCATCCACGCAAAATACCCTCACACGAAAAAGCTTTTGGAATGAGTAGGCGTTTACAATTCATTCGTGAAGGAGGGCATTACACGGTATGTTTCAATGCCATGTTATGAGGGAATGAGCATGGCATATAGATAGACCAGTGCGTCACCTCTGCTTCGCAGAGGCTTGCACTGGTCTCACTATCTGTATGCCTTACTCATTCCCGCGATAATGACATTGAAACTCACCGCGCTATGCCTATCATGAATGATTCGTAAACAACTACTCATTTGTAAAACTTTTTCATGTGAGATCGGTAATTTCCCGTGAATGAAACTTTTCCGAGAAGAACAAAAGCAATTCAAATTGGTTTTTGGACTTTCATGGCTTGATAGTTGCTTTGAGGACAGTGATTACCGTGGGCCACATCACTGTGCAAAAATTTTCTCAAATGATCAGGTAGACTCTTGGCAAATCAAAGTTTACGCAATCAATTCTTTTTAACGCCACCTTCGTAAAGCAATAAATTTTGTTCACTTTTTTGGGTTAAAGTCCATGGCTTGCACATTAGCTTGTCAAACGTACTCATGACTTTGCAAAAAGTGCTGCTACATGCACAGTTTCGCTGGCTAGAAGTTTAGTGGATCCGTTTGTAAAGCAATTTTTGAGGGATCCATTCAACGGATCCGCTCGTGTTTTTGCACAGACAAAAAGACGTAAACAACCCTTAGCCCGTTATTAAAGTCATGACAGAAGAGCCAGTGCGAGCCTCTGCGAAGCAGAGGTGACGCACTGGTCAACAATAATTTGTAATCGACTACTCATTCTCACAGGTTTTACATGTAGGATGGTGATTGCGGGAAAATAACTTTTCTGCAGACAAACAAACGCGAAATTAGTGAATTACTGAATTTACTACAACGTCATTGTTCATATGAGGATAATAAACATCATGGGCTACATCCTTGTGCAAAAATCTCAAGCTATTTGTAAAACCTTGATTAATCGAGTATTCGAGCAAGCATTCTTTTAGCCCTATTTCAGCAGGAAAATAAAGAGCATTTCTTGGACCAAAAATTATGGCTCGCTCATTCATTTGTCAAATAAATACCTGACGTTGAGAAAGTCGATTCGGCGATCCACTTTTGCGTGTCAAAAGCCGACTGGACCCGCTCCAGGTGTCATTTTCGAAGGACCCATGCATTGCATCCCCCCATTGAGCAGGTTAAGTATACACTGCCAGCGTGCACTGTACAAAATTTTGGCTCAGGACGTATTGCGTAGCTCGCTGTACGATTTTTGTGATAACTTACAAACATACGAAAAAAAAACAGAATTTAGCGCTTCATTATAAGTCGTGATAAATAGATTATATGTGGTTTCTCTCACTGTAATGGCTGCTTGAATCCCACCATGCGATATGCTTGCCAACAAAAATAAGTTGTGAACAACGACTCATTCCGTACTCTATTTTATATGATATCAGTAAGTTTGAGGGGGACCTGAATACAAACAGATGTAAATTTAAACCAGTTGCTGAAATTAGGAACGCGCGCAAGTGGTACCAGGGCAGCCTAGTGCTATCGAAACCAGCCGCGGCAGATGCCAGAAAGCCGCTGCAGATCACAGTGATTGCGCTCCAGTCTTTAACTTCTGCCAAGAGCTTTTTTCGCACTTCGTCACGCTAAGGTGCGATATCATTCTCAGGAATCATGACTTATAATAAGCAGCTTAATTTGAAGCTGTGAGGAGTTTGTCCGTTTCGAAATTATAGTGAGGAATGATTTACGATACTTAACATCATGTGAGATTAAGACAGCGAGTATGGTTCATTTCTAACTAAGGCTCTCACGCTGCAATCGTCCGAACAATGATTTGAGAGACAATCTCAGAGAGTGAGTTTATTAAGATTCATGACGCCAGTGCGAACCTCTGCGAAGCAGAGGTGAAGCACTGGTAGTATGATATCCTCGATAATCATTTCAAACCGCAAAAAATGATATTTTGTTTAGAATCATTACTAATTTTGGCCGACTTATCTTATTGTTTCCACGACATTTTCCTGTAATTGTTCTCCGGTTTTCTACGTAGACCAGAAAAAATGATTTTAGAATGATTATTCAAATTGTTTTAATTTTAGACAATTTTTTAAGAAAAACTCTATCCTATCCAGCTTTCTATACTCGCATGTTTTTCAACAAATTATGAGTTTTTGCTGTTCAAAATGATATAGATATGGAGGTTATTACGCTTCCCCTAAAGCTGATATCGCACTTCAGCGCGACGAGGTGCGAAAAAAAAGCAGGAGTTTTGACGACGAGTGTAATCACGTACGAGCGTCCCATATGGAGCAATCGGTTGTCTGGGTACCAGTTGCTACACGTTTCTGAAATTATCATAGCACGGTAGTCATCATACGGACAATACCACTATGAGCTACATTTCTAGCAAAAGATTTTCAAAATTCCAAAGTAAAACCCTGACAAAGAGACCATCTAAGCAATTATTCCTTTTTTCGCGCTGATTTTGTATAAAAGCAGACTTCTAGCTCATTGTTAGGCCAAGGACCAAATTCTACACACATTCATAGCTTTGCAAGAGGTTAGTACAGATCTACTTTTGCAGCCAAACGTCTTGTGTATCCGTTGGCACGCCTTGAATAATTCACACAACGGATCTGCTCGTGGTTTGGCTTTTTGGACGTACATGCTGGCGGCATGCATTATGCAAAAAGTGGGGTCATTTTCTTGGCTGGAACCTTTCCTGCAAATTCTGTGACAGACAGATTTTCAGCCATGCACACAAAAAAATCCAAATCGCCTTAGTGTGTTAAGGGCCGGGCATCATCACGCGAATTGATCGCCGCAATTTCTTGTCGTCGCGATTTGCTGCAAGTAGCGACATCGCGGCAACTAAATCGCTAGCTGCTTCTTTACGGGCTTCTGTGGCGATTCATGCCACCTACTTGAGCACATAATATACACTCTGGAACTCCTTGCAAGTATTTGTATTACATTCGGCTTGATTTTTTCTTTTATATTTCCATTTTATAGTCGGAATCAGTTCCCACCGTAGGATGACATTAAAGTTTGACTCTATTCCAATTTCTGAGCCTCACTGTCTCAAAGTTGCGGATTCTGCTCAAACTCGGTTTAAAGGGGTTATTCGACCCACGTGGTTATTTGACCCACCCACTAGTATCATAATCATTGTGCTTGGTAAACCACACTTTTGGCGTCACCGTAGGAGCACGTAAGGGGACAAAACCGTAGAATTGGCTGACATTCCATTTAGAGAAGTTATTCAACATGCTAATCACAAAAATCATATCTACATCGCGTTTTGTAGCAGATGCCGGGTTGCGTGAGTATACGGTGGGTGTCAAAGTCACAGACTTGTTTGAGTCTTTGCGCAATGAAGTTATTTGATGTTCTGATCACGAATATTGCGTTCATTTCGCATGATGAAGTCTTTACCAGACTTTTTCGTGCCTAAATTGACCCAAGAATAAATACTAATTGTTGCTGTGGTATACAGATTGCATAAAAATGGCGCTTTCCTGAGTAATCATCATGACAATCATGTTCAGCGCGCCATGGAGCCCCCTCTCCCACAACAAATTCAAAGCGAATCCGCGATTTTGGATCTGCGTAGCCCCAGAAGATGGCGCTACCGCACACAATAACCATGGTATTCGACACCAACGGGTCGAAGACCCCTAGACCGAGTCTGAGCGAAATTCACGACTTTAGAATTTGGGTCACGGATAGCGCCAAAAATGGATACAAGAGGATCAATTTACGGAGAAGCAACGCACTCTGGCAAGATAGAACTATTTTTGAGATAGTGAGCAAGAAAACAGCCCAATAAGCTAAGAAACAATCAAAAAAACTTCCAGAAAAGAAGTCCAATCTCACCGATTAAGTCGCGTCGCTCGTTTTAAGTCAGCGATATCGCTGAGATTCGGGCAAATCGCGACGATTTCAGTCAAGAAAGTATGCCCAGGGAAAAAATAGTTAGCGATTAGTCGCGCCGAATGACTGACACAGCCGAATGGCAAAATGATCAGCGTCACAGTTGTCTTGCCGGGAGAATCGCGAGGCGATGAGATAGCGCAATGTATACCCAGTCCTTTACTGTAGTAGGATAGCGCATTTCTTTGAGTGCGAAAATGTTGATAATTGAAAATACATTAACTGATCAACGAGTAAGATATGTTAAAAAATTATGTTAAAATCTTTGTTAAGATATGTTAAATGTCTGTTAAAAGAGATAACAGACTATCATGATATGTAAATCATGATAGTTATCTCTTTATAAGATTTGCAAGAGACATAAGGGCTCTACTGCCCATCCGTGATGAGCGCTTAGGAATCATAAATTGCTTCAAAGTAATGTTTGCAGCCAAGAACAGTATATCTAAAACAGCGTATCAAGCTTATTCCAAATTTATGAGTCTTTTTTCGAGAGCCCAAATAATTAGGTGCATTTCCTTGTCACTTCAAATAGAAAGTAACATACGCGCCCAATAAACTCGAGCTTTTGTTATAAATTGAAGCATATAAAATGAAATAAGCGCAAACATCGATTTATTGATTAAAGACTGGGGAAGGGCCTAGTCAGACCGCACTCAGCTACTATCACTTCGTAGACTGACAGAGTATGCAAAAAGCTAATGCTTTGGATGTTCAAATGTGCTTTTCGCACATTAGCAGCATATGAATATTGAGGAAAAAAGCAAATCCGAATAAAATATCGCTCGTAACTTGTAAAATAATCACCGCACTCCGCTGGAATTCGCCGAATTTTGGTTGCATCGCCATATCTTGCATGGGAGTAAAAGAATTCTCACTTTAGAAGCATTTAACTCAGCTGGACGATATGTACGTAGAGGTGTCTGTTTGGGCACGAAAGTGGTCAAATTTTAAGGATCCTTCCGGATTCTTGCTTACGGTAGGTTACTCAAAATGTTGAATTATTGCACAACGACCATACTACTGACGCAAAAATTTGGAAGGTCCCTAAAATTTGACCAGCTATGTGCCCAAACAGGCAATTTTATATGTTGAAAGATGCAACTCGTCGAGCTGAGTTAAATGCTTTTGGAGTGAGAATTTGTCCCTTCGAAGCAAGATGTGGCGATGCAACAATTTGGCGAACTTCGGAGGAGTGCGGTGATTTTTTTCACAAATTACAAGCGATATTGCATAAGAAAGGTTCTTTTCAAGACACATTCTTTTACTATACTGCCAATGTCACCTTCCAAAGACCTTGGGCAAAAAATCTAGCATCAGTAAAGTAGATCAAAAAAGGCGTGAAGCTCCGCAGTCCAGTTAGAGTTTCTATCGCCTGTGCTCAGCAAAAGCTAACCGAACTCTCACTACGTCCTCGTTATCATTGTTGCCGCTATTAAGTCATAAAATAATCAATCTTGCAATCTCATTTCGTTCATCGAATAATGTCATCTTTTCTCATTCACTACATCTCTGATAGGTTAAGTAGTCACCACATAGCGGGTCGAGTACAGAAAATGAATCTGCGATGGTGGTTTTATCACTCAAAACTGTAAAAACAGAACAGTAGGAACAGCGGCAACACCTTAACAAAGCTACAGTAAAGAAATAGATTCCATGGGCTAGTGGCAGCCTCTAGTTAATTTTGTGAGTGTTTTTTTTTGAGTTGATGAAGATGTGCCTCATGAGAAAAGCTACAAAATCACAATACATGTAAAGGTCTTGGAGGAGTTTGCAAGTGAGTTATATAATGCGATGAATGCCCAAAGGAGGCTCAGATTCAAGAACCTGCGTTAGTTCAGAATCACTTACAATTGAGAATGCCAAATTTTATTTGAAGAATCGGTAGAATTTCAGTGACTTGATTTGCTGCACAGCTTTAAGAAGACACAAGTTGAATCGAATCTACTAGATAAAACTGTAGTAATGAGGCGTACCTTCCATTGGCGGTCGCTCTTCTATTACCTATATAGAATACTTGAAGCAAGATTTAGCAAAAAGAATATGTCCGTACAGCACTACAGTCACTTCCTATTTAGAAGTTCATGCCTCTCAAAAGGAAAACTAAAGCCACACATCGTTGCAGTGTGCGTCTTATATAGAAAAATTTGATTGAAGGCAATCTAGGAAGTGAAATGTTCTCTTTTCACACTTTTTTTTGGAGAGATCTTGAAACTATCAATCTTCAACGCGTTCCTGTATGAACTTTCGAATCTGACGCGAGAATGCGATGGACTGGATTGTCAGAGATCTTCTGTGTCTGAAATAGCAATGAGCGAACTCTGAGCTGCTATTTGATGCTGTGTGTTTGTGCTTTTAAGAATGTGAATGATTATAGCTCAAGAAGTAAGACTCCATTGGCTCGTTCACCAGCCGTCATTGATGAAGTGCTCAGCGATCGTGATGTGCGCTTGAAAATAGACCCATCACTCATGAAATCTCTGTGAGATCCTTACAAGGGAAGGATACTCGGTCGAAGTGGCCATTTGGAATGAGCTGTATATTAGAATACCGTCCTCCGTAAGGCAAACTCAAAACTACTTTCGCCAGGTGCCGAGCGGTTTTGTGGGGGGAGTTACAAGGTCATTTTCCTCCGGCGCGGCTAGCGCACCCAGTGATGGGCGAGGCGCTAGAATAACGCAGCAGTGGCGCAGTGGCAACGCAGCGGACTACGAAGCAGATGGTCGAGGGTTCGAGTCCTGTTGCTGCTATTTTGTTTTGCAGTTGTGTAAAAAGTCTATTGGGTGACAGCAAACGAGAAATACTATTTCCAGGCAGTCGAAACAAGCAATTTACTGCAAAAAAGTCACTATTTCTACAATAAGCTATAATCTTCTACAATATGTCAATTTGTGGAGGTTAAGATGTCACAACAATGGATTCAAATGATACACTAACATGTATGGAATACAACCACAAAATGCTCAAAGCAGAAGAGCTTCTCGCAGCGCGCACACTTGCTAATTTGCAATCGATTGCAATCAGCGCTTCATTACCTATCAAGGCAGGACCACGCAGGTAAAGGCAAGTGCCAAGTATGCGCATATAGCAAAAAGCTCCGCTGCCAATCATTACGATGTTCTCGCCACAGCTTGTTGTCTCGTACCTTTCGGAAGAATTCGGGCCGTGTGACGTCGCAGTAAATAGCTTGTTTCAACTGCCTAGAAATGAGTATTTTTCGTTTACTCTCACCCAATAGACTTTTTACAGAACTGCAAAACAAAATAGCAGCAACAGGACTCGAACCCTCGACCATTTGCTTCGTAGCCCGCTGCGTTGCCACTGCGCCACTGCCACACTGTTGCGTTATTCTAGTGTCTCGCTCATCACTGGGTGCGCTGGCTGCGCCGGAGAAAAATGGCCTTGTAACTCCCCCCACAAAAGCGCTCGGCACCTAGCGAAGGTAGTTTTGAGTTTGCCTTACGGAGGACGGTTTCCTGGTATACAGCTCATTCCAAATGACCACTTCGACCGAGTATCCTTCCCTTGTTAGTAAACTTTGATATCCACTAAATTTTTAAAAAATTTAGAGTTCAAAGAGCTGCCGAACAGCAGTCGCTAATGTCGCAGCAGGTATGTTTTCTTAAAAAGATGGCCATTTTGCACTACGTCACAGTCCACCGTACTTCGCCGCAAAGCGGCCAAAGCAGTTGCGAATTTGTGAAAGATAGTTCCGCGCAGGAGCATGTTGCGGTGACATGGTCCTGCGCGGAACTATCTCTGAGAATTGCGGTTGAGAAAAAAGGCCCAAATCCTTTCTTTTGTATTTGAGCTCTATTTAGACAAAACTTTCCAGTCTGAACATTTCAGAAACGGTCGATATCACGAACACCACGTGTTACCCGTCGTCTCACAGCACCACAAACATTACTGAAATCAATTGAAACCTTGGATTATCCGGAATTCCTTGACAAACACTTCAAGAAGATAGAACCAGGGGTGCGATAGAAGTTGAAAGTCGACAGTGATTTAATTCGTTCATTTTCATTTGCAGATACATAAAATACACTATACAATGGCTGAGTACCGTGCGGTTATCCAAGATGCGAATTTGCTCCTTTCATGTAAGTTATAAGAGTGTCTTACTAGAATAGCAATGACTTTTTGATGCGTAACAACTATAATTTTAGCTGAGAAGACGCTAATAGACGTTGATCCTCCGGTAATTATCGTTGGCGATATCCATGGACAGTTTAACGATCTTATCAATATGTTTCTTTTGATTGGAAGACCACCAGAGAAACGCTACTTGTTTTTAGGCATGTCAATTCTATGATATTTAGAACACTTCTGCAGCGTTTCCAATAGGGAAAGTTGCAGCAAATGATGAATGAGACTTTATTGGCTTGATTAATTCGTTCTTTTCTCAACTTGCGTTTGTTGAATCCTAAAAAGGGAATAATGTCTGTGATTCCCAGAAATCTCGTGTGTCTTCTGCGATCGCTACTATTTCCACAAGGCGCTGAGCATGTAGGCGTAATAAAGTAAAGTGATTGTCTCAAAAATGGTAACTTTTTCTTCACAAATTCCTTACTGCTGACCATAAGCTTACGTTATAAAACTAATCAATCCATCCAACGTCGTTATTGTGCTCCATCAACACCAACACTTTTTAATCTCTGAAAAATGCCTTCGCCATTGGCGAAACTCTTATTTCAAAAGTTCAAATTTTCAAAGTCGTTCTGGAAAATCCATTAGTCTGCAATATTTTTTGCGGAGACATGACTGATTGGGGTATTGTCCTTGCAAATTTTGAAGGCACAAAGATTATCTTGGTAATTCATCAACAATGACATCCTTTTAGCACGAAAAGAAGGGAAAAATTATTTTAGAGAACTTGCACTGCAATGATTGACATTTTAGGTGGGATTCGAGAATCTTTTGTTAGAAAAGTAATTTTGGTTAAAATGCTTTGTGGTGAAGTGTATGTTGCCAGAATCGGGATCTCCTTCAGCACTCCACATATATGGGCATTTCTGAAATGGTCTAAAGATACACTGATAGTCTTGAAAGAGCAAGTGGTTTGTTGTTGGTTGTGCTTCAAAGGGAGTAAGGATTTCAAATGTTCGAATTCAAAGACTGAGGCTGATCCATCATCGCGACCTGGCCATAAAAAATCTATGTAAGATGCAAGTGAAATTTCGCGGACTGTGGTGTGTTAGCGAAGAAGTCCCCTAAATACCACTCAACGCAAGCGTTACGCTTCTGGTCATTTTCCTTTGTACCAATCAGTCGAACACGAAGAGGCTGTGCTGATAGAAACGGAAAATCTCCCTCTAGTTCTTCATTAAAATCTCTCATCCTGCATAAAAAACTAGAGGGAGTAGTTCAGCTGCCTCAGATCATTAGAGGACAAAGGGATGCCAGTGCCCCTCCTTTTGATCTGTAGGCGCTGCACAAACAAGCAAGGAAAAATTTGAAGACGCTAAAGACGGCGCTCGGGTAGATTTGAGCATTCTTGGTCCACCATCATGATCCAGTACCAAGCCTTGATATGTTACTGCTGCACAAAAATTCTGAACATCCTCTAAAAAGAGATAACTGGCGCGCAAATTACCAAAACCTTGCGAGCTCCCCCCCCCCTTGGCGACGCCATCCCCTCGAACGTATCTTAGGTTCTTGACGTGTTCACATAGCAGACACAATCGAATACTTACCTACTAATTACCTGTTGATGCTTGCTTTTGACAGGACGCTAGGGGCACTTCCACCGATTCACAATTAGCCCAAAGAAATTTTTCGGATCATTTACGTTCTCTAATTGCCACGTCCGGAATCAACGCCATGAAACCCCTACATAAGACAAAAGGATGAAAATTGAGATAGATGCTGGCTTTACATATTCACAAGGCCGACTTTTTGACGGCCGCCATTTCGGACCAGAGGTATTTCGCAATATTGAGTTTGCAGGATATTTTCTGGTCACTGATGAGTCCTGTGGTCTGAAGTTACTCTTATTTTGAGCATATGCTAAGGCTCAGCAAAGGTGACGCTTTTACGCTCAGGATGTCGTTTTAGAGATTAAAGGGCAAAGCAGGATGGAACGCTTATACGAAAGGAGTATTACCCGGAAAACTTGCGAAAGATCAGCAATTTCTTGAGTTAACAACTTTATTGCAAATCCGAAAACCACATTATCGAGGGGTTACGGAGCGCTAATTTGGGCGCTTTGGTAAATCAAGTCACAAAACTGTATTGCTGTACGGAATTTATCGTGGTTGAATTTTCGACGGAAAGATCGAAGCTTGAATAATCGTCCTTTTCCACATCTGATCTGGGTACTGTCTCCAGTGAATAATCACCAAGGCGCACCTACAAAATGCATAAATCGTCTTTTTGTCAGAATAAACTGCAAGCAGTCCATTGAGATAGCAAGCGGTTCTTCTGCTTTTCCAAAATCTTTTCAAATATGAGACAAAACTAGCAGAGCAATGAAAGTTTTGTGAGATTTTAGGGTACCTTTTCTATGAAGCATACTACATATAGTTGATTTTGTGTTTATTGGATTCTGTTCAGCACCATAGGGCCAGCCTTTCTAGTTTGACTGACGGAATAGTATCGTCCAGACATACTCTCCCGCTTCCAAATCACCACCTTTGATATCTGCCAAAAAATTTTACTGATACTTTTACTGGCTAAGAAATTAACTTGTTATGTTCTAAGAATGAATGCTCAACGCAGCGCCGCTTTCATGTAAAATCAAAAGAGGAAAAAATTATATAATTTATCGAGTCATCGCGACGTGCACTAAATTCTCTGGGTCATCAAACACTTTTTTAAGCTCTAATATCCCCAATTGCAAGACTCCATAAATTTTCTCACGGACAGAATCTCTATCTCTATTTTCGGCTCTAAATCATTCGCGAGAAAATGGTGCGTAAACGAGAGACTATGTAAATAGACACTTTTTAATTCAGCTCGCGCATGGGGGTATGGTAATTAACAACTATTGAATTCCCATTAGAGCAGAACAAAAACCCCTTATCGTAATTTGCATTGGACTTTTCACGCTTTTGTTATTGACGCACTCTTGGAGTCAAAAACTGCAAGAATCTTAGTTTTATGAAATGTTTTCTGTGATTAGAACGATATTTAGGTGATTATGTGGATCGAGGAATGATGTCGATAGAGTGCATGATGCTTCTTCTTGCTTACAAGGTGAAGCTTCAATAATCTTTTAGAGTAAACTATTTATTTGATTTCCGTCAGGTGTGCTACCCCACATCCGTCTATCTGCTGCGAGGAAATCACGAATGTGCTCGAGTCAATAAGAAATATGGTTTTTGGAATGAATGCATTAATCATCTGGGCGCAAATGGCGAGACCGTCTGGGCAATGTTTCAAGTGAATAAATTGCGACTAATTCTATAACTCCTAATGAACACCTTCAGAGATGTTTCAACAACATGCCTGTCTCGGCTCTCGTGGCAACAAAAATCCTTTGTATGCATGGCGGGTTATCGCCTAGTCTGGAGTCATTAGATGTGAGATCACAACCAAAGAAAACTTTAATATTGCTAAAATTTGCTTCATTAGGATGTGAGAAATACTGTGAAACCAGTGAGAAATCCTTTTCGTGGAGTTATAAACGACATGCTTTGGGCAGACCCTGACTTGAACATTTTGGACTGGCGCACAAGTACCCGCGGTTCAGGCTTCGCTTTTGGCACACACGTTAATTTTTATTTCTTTAACAATGAAATTAGCAAAGACAAATGCAGACGACACATGGTTTAGGTTATTGATGATGTCTGCGAGCGTTTTGGTTTGGAACTTATTGTGCGTGCTCACCAGGTAGGATGAACCTCTTTCTACCCGCAAACTGGGAACAGGATAGCCAACCTCCCATTCTTTCATTTGAAAAAGCGCATCCTAGAAGTTCAGCAATCAGTAACGTACCGACAGCCCCTCCGTCTGCTCCGCTTTAGCCAAGAGTTAGTCACGAAATATCCGAGAGTATATTAAATGTTCCAATCTCTTTGAATCTCCGCATAGGAACTTAGTCTTATTCTGTTCGTTAAGTCCCGAGATCGTTAAAGACCTTTTATTGGCTTACCTTCGGCCAATTCGTCGTCGTTAGGGTCTAAAGGAGACAATAAAACTCGCGATCTATCCGAAGGAAAGTCTTCCAAACATGCAAGCAAATCCACAACTCTGAAGAGAATACTTTCTCGAGCGACAATCATGTCTAATAGTGCTTTGTTTCGCTTTATTTCTTACGCACATCGGCGTGCACTCAAGGATTTAATAGAAACGTGTCAGAACATAAAGGTAGAGAATGTAAAAGAAAGTAAGTGAAAGAAACAATAATTGTTTTTCTCTTGTCGGCATGGTTACTCATATAGGCTCAGGCCTTGGGTATAGTTCACGCGATTTTGAAGCTCTTCGATTCTCCCGACAAGACAACTATTACAGTTCATTGCATGTCGGTCACTGTGTTGCGGTTGTGATTAGTCACGAATAATCGTGTCCGAAAACTATCACAACCAAATGCGAAGATCACCGGCACGCAACAAACTTGTGACAGTTGTCTTGGGAAAATTGCGAGACGGTAAAGTTGCGGGCACTATGCCTTATGCCTTATGAAGATAACGACACTAGGGATAAGCTGAAAGACACACTGCTAAGCAGTCTGGATGAGCTACAAAAATGTGCAGGTAACTAACGGTTCAATTGTTATTACTTGTGAAAACAACTCAAATAACCTTTTAAATCATGATCCAAAGTATCTTCCGTCATCATAAAAAATAATTATCCGAATTTTCCTAGTATCACTGAAAAGTTTCTGAGATCCCCGTTACCAATTGGCAGATAAGGAAACTCAAATTAGCAGTGACAAAGATAAAAAATTTTTTCTCTCCTTTCAGATGTGCCTTGATGGATTCTGGGTGATACCAAGCCGGCGGCTTTTGACATTGTTTTCCGCTCCCATGTACTGTAATCTATACAGGTAAGCAATTGCCTCATTTGTTATCAAAACGGATCACATACCACAGAAATGCGGGTACTATGCTAGACGTGGATGAGAATTTGCGTTGTCAGCTCATATCGATGGTTCCAGAATCTGTACGTCTTCAAGCAAGACTTTGTCAGCAACTGTTGACGTCTTTATAGAGAGGCTGTCATGAACGTATCCTGAGACAGAATCGCCTCTGGGACGAAACGGTTGATTTCATATGTGAGCGACCGATGGTGTGATTTAGCGAAGAAATGCGATGCCCAAACAAACATCTCACAAATTTACTTCGTTTTTGACGGAGCTCTTTCATCAAGAGCTCCGTAGTCACCTTTTACCCTTCGCTCTTATTGTTCTCAGATTGAGTGGTTTATGATAAATAAGCGTTTAGGCCAAGCATTTGAGGAAAACGCAATTCACAATCAGTTCAGTCGATATCAGCACCTTATATGATAACAATGGTAAGAACGACGACAATGATAAAAAGTGATTTTGATAACATAAAGAAACAATTTGTAGCCATCAAATGAAAACAATGACTGCATAAATCCGAGACGAGACTCCATAGTTCCCTAAATGTTGTAGATCCTCTTATCTTTAGCTTTGCCATGTTCTTGATGATGATCAGTTTTGATTTCTATACTGTCCCGTACAAGTTATTATAGACCAGTGCGCCTTGCGCCTCTGCTTCGCAGAGTCTCGCACTGGTTCTTCTATCTATAAACTACACTCATTCTCATGGGCATTGGAATTTACCGCGGAGATCCCGCCTCCACGAAAAATCTGAACAACTACCAATTCCGAGAGCTTTTTCGTGTGAGATCGGTATTTTCATGAATGAAACTCTGGAAGATGATGAACAAGTGCATTCTTAGAACAACTGAATTTTTCCATAGTCTGGTAATCGCCACAAAGATAATATCCACGGTGAGCTACATCCCTATGCAGTATTATTTTGAATGCTGAGTGAGCCATTCTCGGCTCAGTGCTGGACCAAATATGCAAATAGATCACTTCATATGGCCCGTGCCTAGGGGTAGGCCAAAAAGGCAATGACCTAATTTCGTAATTTTTGTAGATGATTTTTTGCAAAAGCTGCTCATAACTTTGCCTCAAAGGCGTTCCAGATATGGAAGACAGATTTGAAAAACATTCTATGCTGCATCGAATGATATGCAGCATGTTTGTATTGGCCACTTCGACTTCTGACTATTTTCTTGTCAGCGGCTTTCAGCAGGAACACAATCCAGCAAATAATGTTTAAATTTCACTCAATCTGGCAAAAGAAATCATCCTGAGAGCATAGCTCAAAGACCGTATTTCTAGTTCTAAACAGAAGAGCAACGAGCAACTTTGACTTGTGGGACGAAAAAACTCAGGGGCTTCTAGCTAATAGGTATTTTCGGAAAGAATAGCTCTGTTCCATGCAAAATTTCTAAGGAATTCGTGAATAATTAACCTCAGGATGTGTTCAAAACTTTACTTCTGCCCTAAATGAGAGCAATGAGCAAGAGCCTGGCTTCCTCGGAAAAACAGTCGAACTTTTCGCAAAAAGAATTTTTGCAAACATGCCTCTGTTTCATAAGATATTCTCGCTTTATCTGACGACCCTTTGGAAGCATGTGCTCAGAAAATTCCCTTCACAGGAGGATCCCCGCCGTGGAGAGGATCGCAGCTTAAAAGAAAGCTTCGTCTCCTGAAGACCGAGATACCTGGATTTCACGCTGCCTACCTATCCATAAGTATTCCCACCATCCTTCACTACGATCATCTTGAACACGAGTGACAAGCTGTACAAATCGCATAGTCCAGCTTTTTGTGTGATCCCCTGGTGATCCTCGACAAGCGACAGTCTTTTCTTTGAGGTCGTTTTTCTTTCTTCGAAGTCAACGAAATCATTTCGAAGCTGTACTGAGTATCTTATCCAACAGTGCTAACCATGTTTCTGTGAGAACAAGTAATGTTTCAAAGTCATGAAATTTGCGATGAACCACATGTCGAAAGTTGGGGTTTATCGAAAAAATCGTTACTCCAAAAACTCATAAATTAGCTGGGCGAACACGGTCTCGCTGGAAGAAAAAACGAGGGACTCTGGGCGACAGAACACGCTTTTTAAAAGTTCCTGGGTTCAAAATACTATCAAAGAAACTTTTGAGATTTCTTACTCTAATAGCATCCTACTACATATTACCTTCAAAAGAGAGAGTCAGGCAAACTTGGTCCTCCACTCGGCAGAAATTACCTGGGACTTTACGCGACGGGACACTTTTTTGCGGCCTAAGAAACTTTGCCGAAAGAAACTTTTAAGATTTTCTGCCCTAAGAGCATCCCACCTTTGCCTTCAAAAGAGAAAAAAACAGAGCAAACTGCTAGCAGGGTAGACCAGAGACTTTAGCTACAAGACACTTTCTAAGAACTCCTACTCTTCACAGATAAAATCTCAAAAGCTTCATTGAAAGATACCCTAATTTCACGCGTACAAGGCGCCGGGGATTTTTTTCCAAATTCGACCGGCCCAGACACGCAAGAGGACTTTGCAACCAAATGACCCTATAACGCACTCTATATTGCTTAAGAATATCGTATGGTATAAGGTACTCTTTTCGAAATACAGTGAAGCGGCTGAGCGATTCGCTTAAAAAATCGAAAGAAAAAGGTGCGCCTTGTACGCGTGAAATTAGGGTACTTTTGACATTCTCTACTCTAGAAACATCCTACTTCTGCCTGAAAAAAACAGGAGTAGGATGAAAGAAAAGAGAGCAGGACCAAATTGATTTTGCTGGCAGAAAATACAAAGAACTTCATGCAGCAGGACACTTTTCCAAAGACATTTTGAGTTTTACATTTAAATTTATTGAAATTTGGCGAAAGTTGCTTCCGGGTTCTTCCCTTTAAAACATCCTACTTTTGCCTCAAAAACGGAAAAGAACAGGGCGAATTTGGTCTCGCTGGCAAAGACCAGGGACTTTATGCGACAGGAGACTTTCTCTAAGAACTACGCTTCAAAGATAATTTCAAAAAATTTCACTGAAAAATATTTTTGGCATTCTACACTCTAAGAACATCCTGCTTTCGTCTCCAAAAAGGAGAAAAGCAGGGCGAAACTGGTTTCTCTGGCAGAAAGGCCAAGGACTCTGTGCGACAGAACACTTTTTCTGAGAGTTTCTAGGTTCAAAAAACTTCTAAAGACACTTCTAAAATTTCCCACTCTATGAACATCCTATATTGCCTTCGAAATAGAAAAGTGCAAGGCAAACTCCTGGCAGAAAATACCAGGGTCTTTACGCGATGGGACACTTTATAGCAATTGGGCTTAAAAGACTTTGCCAAGAGATGCTTTTACATTTTTTGCTCCAAATTCTACTTTTGCCTCTAAAAGAAAAACAGCAGGGCGCTTGGTCTCGCTGGAAGAAAAGATCAAGGAGGTCTCGCTCCAGAAAAGGACCAGGGAGGGAGCTTAAAAGAAAACTTGTATCCTCAAGCTCCAGATATTTGGATTACAAGCCGTCTACCTATTCTTACGTATTCTTACCATCCTTCACTATGAACATATTGAACACGAGCGAAAAGCTGTACAAGCCGCATTTTCTCTCTTTTCGAAATCAACAAAAACATACTAATTCAACATTGCTGAGCATGTTGCTAATAAGAACAAATGATGCATTGGAGTTATGAAATTTGCGATGAACCACAGGTCGAAAAATGGAATTCGATATTTCAAACACTTATCTGGTCTTGTCAGTAATAGTTTAGCACTTTCGGGTTTGATTCAGTACACCTTTGGAAGGTTCGTTAACTTGGAAAAAAGAAAAATGACTTGATTCAAAGATTATGGCCCGCCGGAGATCATCACGGAATCGTACAAAAGCTCGAAAATGTGGCTTGTACAGCTTCTTATTCCTGTTCAAGATGTTCGTAGTGAAAGATGGTAGAAATACTTACGGATAGATAAACAGCGTTAAATCCAAATATTGGGTTTCAGGACATGAAGCGTTCTCATAAGCTGCGATCTTCTCCCCAGCGTGGATAATAGTGCATGCGCTCCTAAGAGTTATTTACTTTGTCTTCAGAGGAGAAAAGACTAAGATGTACTCTCTGGCAGATACTATCAAGGATTGAGGATTTCATGAAATTTAGTGAAAGCTGCTTTCAGAGGAGTTGTGTATTTGTAGTTTTGGTCTCCCTCTAGAAAAAAGCTCAAAGCTTTCCAAGGCATAGCAGTCTTCATAAAAACAGTTTGAGCTTTAGTTTTTGAATTGTTTAAGCTTACCAAGGTGGTATAGAACTTAATAAAATGGCTGACGCGTTTCGGCGATTTATCGCCTTCTTCAGAGCGCTGTAACGAAAGTTTAGCAGCGACAATTAAAGACTCACGGCGGTCGCCACTGTCCACTATCCTCAGATAGCGGAACCGAGTACACTGATGTGACCCTCCTCCGCTGTCTATTTATAGTCCCCAAGACGCTGATAAGCTGTAGGATCACTTATCATGGCTATACTGTCATCCTTTCTATTCATTTGGGGAGAACGGGCGGAGATGTAGAAAGCTTCAAGGGTTTTACGCGCTAGAATTTCAGATTCTTGCACTAAAATTGATGCGGCGACTTCTATGGTGGTGTTTTGATGACATTCTATACGATGAGCCCCTAGTGGAGTGGAGATTTTGGACTTTTGTAGACCATCCAGATGTTCTTTGACGCGAGAAATTAGTGGACGTCCTGTTTCTCCTATGTAAGTTGCCCCGCAAGCATTACATACTATTTGGTAGACAACGCCGGATACCATACAATCTCCCTGTCTACCGTACGGACGAATTGGGCAAGCATTAGTCATGCAGAGACGATCATAAGAGCGATTGCGTACTAATTGCTGCTTGAGATTTGGTGGAGGTATTTTACCACCCTTACCATATCTTGCAATCCTGCTTGAACTAAGCTTTTGCGAACCTCCCGACTTATTCTATCTGAAATAAAGGGTAGGCAGAACGAAATCTTTTGATAGAATAAGTCGGGAGGTTCGCAAAAGCTTAGTTCAAGCAGGATTGCAAAATATGGTAGGGGTGGTAGAAATACCTCCACCAAATCTCAATCTGATGTCTTCGCTGATTTCCAGTAAAAAAATCTAGAAACTGGGGTTTTTGGAATAGAATTTCTGCGAGGATGATAGCAAAGATGGATTCTAGATGAGCTCCCACTATCAAAGGCTTTTTCTTCCTGAGCGTAGTATCTTGCTTATATTATTA